AAACATTACACTTTAATACTATTTATTATTTTTATACAATATGCTATACACTATACCATTGACCGTCACATGAAAGGTACTAAGAGGAAGCAACGAAATATGTCAATGGGAGAGTGGTGGTAGGAAGCTTGCAGCGAAGCAAAGAATCCATTTTCTGTGGAGAATACAAGATATATAGTCAATGTCAGTGAGTGGAACGCGGTCTGAAAGTCACCGTAAACGTGGACACAATCAGTTAGGATCCGAAATGGTTTATTACGTCCTTCCAATGATTGCTAAGCCGGAATGCATCTTCTCGGTTGAAATTGTCTCTGTGTTTGTATATGTGGATCGCCTCATGAACGAATCTCTCATGGTAGCCAGATGGCTTGCAGAGAACCTCTGTCTTGGAGAAGTCAATATCATCTGAACCCACTGAATTGTAACAGTGATCTGCCACGGCTGAGGTGTTTGTCCTACCGTGTTTCAAGTCTGCTATATGTTCACGGATGCGGTCCGAGACATGTCGTTTGGTTTCTCCAATGTAACTGCTACCACAGAGGCAACTTAGTTTGTAGACGCCAGGGTACTGTATGTCTAGAACCACATCTTTTACAGACGGGACCAGATCACGGATTTTATGTACTGTGTTGAATCGGACCTGGATCTTGTGTTTAATCAGGATTTTTGAGATCTTTTTTGTGACCCCAGCAATGTAGGGTAAGGTGATGGTCTTGAAAGGCTCCTCAACAGGATCCTTCTTGATGGTTGGAGTGATGGCTTTGCAGATTGTGTAGTCGGAGTAGCCATTAACCTTAAGAGCTTGGCGTACGTGTGTGAGTTCACTGGCAATGTGTTCCTGGTCGGAGATGCATTGGGCTCTATGGTATAGAGTATTTATGAGGGAATTCTTCTGGGATGGATGGTGGTGGGAATCCGGTTTTAGGTAAGCATCCGTATGGGTGGCTTTCCTCTAGACAGAGTGGCTCATTGAACCATCAGGTCTCCTTTTAATTAGGACATCCAAAAAGGGTAGCTTTCCATCTTTTTCGACTTCCATGGTGAATCTGATGGCTGGGTGTATGGAATTGATGTGGTCGAGAAATTGGTCTAGATCAGGCCGCCATGTGGCCAGATGACAAAAGTGTCATCTACGTACCTCTTTTTTCGAGACCTAGGTGCTCTGCAAACCCTCTGGCTACCATCAACGGTTTGTACACGATGCCATTCAAATATACAAATACAGACATAATTTCAACCGTGATGATGGGTACAAACTTAGTAATCATTGGAAAGATGTTATTAACCATGCAAAAAAGATTTAACTACACATTTTTGGACCATCTTATCTGACAGGCACTATTTTACTTTACCGAGTGTTAACATCCCCAGCGTTTAACAGTACTCTCCTTTTTCGTATTTGATTGTCAGCCAACACTGGTAAAAACAACATGGGCATTTCCGTTCTCTTCTATCATGTGCACCAACAGGTGCTTATGCACAAACAGGTCCACGTACAGTCACACCTCGTGCTCTCTTTTAGCCCCCCCCCCTTCCAATAAGTTATCATGTGCACCAACAGGGGCTTGTGCACAAACACGTCCACGTCTACGTTTACTTACACCTCGTGCTCTCTTTTAGCCCCGCCCCCCCCAATACGTTCCATTCATTGGCTACCACATTCTGATAAGCCCCCCCCCCCTCTCCTCCCCCTTAACTTGTATTTAAGAACTTGCATCAAGGAATCCCTGCCTCACTTGATACAGCAAATCTGGCTGTGACGGTCCCACCTAATGACGGAGACTTGTGTTGCCTCCGAAACGTCGTGATTTTTATTATTTTATTTTTATTAATTTTAATTTCATTTTTTTACCTACGTGACTTTACCGAAAACTAAGAGTATATATAGTCTTTGGGGGATGCCGAACATGAGACTTAATGTCAACTGAGACCATAAATACGCAATGAAGCGTATACATTAGAAGTAATAAAATATTGTAATTTAAAACAAATGTATAGTTTTACTCTGCTCACATTTGCCTACACATATCGACCCACCGGCCCAGTCCACCTGCTCAAAATAACTGAACGCGACCATTGTGTCGCTTGGACCACCAACTCAAAGAGTGGAGCGAACGTGGCTACCGTAACAGGCAACACAACTGTAGACTGGTGTCATCCTTGATATGACGCATCAATAGTCATCACTCTTCTCTGCTGGCATATGCCTAGAGGAGCCCTACATATGAAGAGGGATAATTACATTTTACTATGAGGAACCCGATTAGCAAAATACTAAAGGCAACAATAATTCAAATCGTGTAAATATTTTTAACAGTAGATTTTCAAATACCATTGGAAAAAAACCGCACAATATATTGACTACCTTGAATATAATTCATTTATTTGTGCAAAATTATTCCGCAATTTTCAAAATGCACGTACGCAACATTACTGTTATTGAAAACACAGTTTACCGTACAAAAACTGAATTCACTTTTATTAAATTCCACAGTCGTGACAATACACTACGCACAATTAATATATCTATTTTTATTTTTCGTCACGAAACCGTTCCAGATGTTTCTACTTTTGAATATAATAGCACATTCCTAGTCTTATGCAAATACTATATACATGCACCTATCACAGTACAATGAAAAATACTTTAACTATTTTCACACAACTGAGTGCAGTACTGAGAGAAAACTAATCTAGTAATCGGGTAGGGGAGGCACAACTATTTCCAGCTATGGGATTTTATCTTCATTTTGGGGGAAAATTGTTCAATTTCTGACATACTGAAAATTATGGTTACGGATCATTCTCGGGAACCTAACCCTTCCGTTAGCTGGGGACTGCCTTATATAGTACTCTTTGGTTCTTTCGGTAAAGTCACGTAGTTAGAAAAAAACATAAGGTTGGAATTTTGTGCACAAATGTAGGACAAAACTCCTGGCAGACTCGTGCAGTGTGGGGAATAAAGCGGTGGAGAGCGTGTGGCTTGTTTGTGCACCGCTCCACTTGGGGAATCCAAGTGTATATGCTGGAAATAATTTTTTTTTAGTGTTTGGTCGGTGGTTTTCGAAATTACATGAGCTGGGGTTACTCCCAAAACATTTTCAAACGGTCACCAGCTTCGGAAAAATGAAGGTAAAAATTGTCGACTATTTTTTGGGGATCTGAAAAATACTCCCCATTTCGGTTTAACGCAACAGGTCGATTATCTGTTTTGGATGTCTTTTCAATTCATTTGATTGTTTTCCAGAAGATCCTGGCATTGCCATGTGATTCTAGAAGAGTTGAAGAAAAATAAGCATTTATTGCATGTCATATTTTTTTTGACGCATCTATTTCTTAAAATCCTGTATTCTAGCCAGTCATTTACCAAGTTACTTTCATGAGCAGATGCCCAAGCCTTGTCCCTAGTTTTCATTAGCTTAATAATTACAGGATCAAGCCATGGTAGACGGTTGCCTTTAATTTTAAATTTAACCAACAGAGCATGTTTGTAAAGAATTTGGAGACATGTTGATCTGAAGGTCTCCCAAGCCGTAGTCAGGTTTTGGATATCACAAACCTTGTCAATATTCAAGTGAATTACATCATTTGTAAATGCCGGTATGCTGAAATGTCTCATGGAGTGCTTCATAACCAATTTGGCGGGGATTTTGGGTTTTGGCCGATGATCTCACCCCAAATATGAAAGAATGATCGCTCAGGTGATTACCCAGAACACCAGTCAGTGTGAAATTGTGAGGCATTTGTCAATAGGATGTCAAGCAGTGAGGATTGTCCCGGATTTTTAAAATTTTGTTTTGTTGGGACATTTATTAATTGAAATAGGTTAAATTAATCATTAAAATTTGTGGCCACAGCCGGTGGGCTCATCCAATTCCAATTCAGATCGCCCACTATAACTATTTCACCTTTAGAAAGGCCCCCAAAAAGCTCTCTCAGTGCGGATGCAGCTTCAACATCTTTACCACTAGGCGGTCTATAACAACACACTACTAATATCTGTTCATTATTCGGGAGAGTGATTTTGATAGCCAGACCTTCAAAGCAACATTTTTTAACAAGGGGTGAGCTCATAAACATGCAATAGTATTACGTACATAGATCGGAATTCCACCCCCTTTAGACCCTCGGTCTTGCCAAAAATAGTTGTAGTTATCAATCGTCATCTACAAGTCATTCATGGCAGGAGTGAGAAACGTTTTTGTAAGTCAAAAAATGTCTGGGTCCAAATTTGCCACTTCTGGTTTTAGTTGACTTAATTTAATAACGAGCCCTCTGATGTTGACATGGAGAATTCCAACATCTTTTCTGCTAGAAAAATCTACAGAATTTAACGAGTTCTTTCCAGTTGGGCCTGGATGAAGCTCAATACCTCCCAGAAATAAGAAACGTAGAATTAACAGTTTGCACAGATATTTTCTGTGGTGTAATTCTGTGTTCGCATATTAGAGTGTTTTTAAATATTAAAGTTGCTTAATACGGAAGAGTCTGAGTGGTTCCTTCCTAAGTTCATGCATAATGATAGAACTGTATTCTGCGCAAGATCTGAATCCTGAGACCGGACGTATTTACACTAAAATCATAATCAGCAAATGTTAAGGTGAGAAGAATCAGTGAATGTTTAAGCGAGAATCAGTAAATGTTTAAGCGAGAATCATTGTATTATCACGTTTGGTAATACACCCCTAGACCACGAAGCCAAGCATCACACACACACAATACATCCCCCTAGCTAACGAAAGAGACAACAATAATACACATAACTACACACACACTGATCATAATACAAACCCACGCACATTAATAATAATACACATACACTCACACATTGATAATACACATTATACACATGATTCATCACGTTACCCTGACACTCAATTAACATCAATTAACATTTATGGCACACACATTTAATTAGTTTAGCCAAATTTACGTAATTTCGTATTTTTTCATGGTTTTTTATTAGATACTTTTTCACAACACTACATTCAACAGTCCACTAGTCATTTAATTCAATTAGATTTTTTGACATTTTTATTTTGCACCAATCCAAACTATACACCATGAGATGAGAAATATATAGAGATCACTTGCAGTATGACAAATTAACAAAACACATCAAAGGCATTAAACATTTAAAAAGACATTCTCTTTATAATGCTGTATGACCCTCAATCAACTCTCTTCCCACAATACACCATGATATGATCCAATCCTGACTCAATCGATATTGTAAGAAATTGCACATACTACCTGACCTTGACCGATATATTGAAACTTAAATGACATTTATTTCAAGAGATGCAATACACTGGATATGTAGGGACTGTACATGTGAAGCAAACAAGCCATTTAAAGGTGGTCCAATGGTTTGGTGAGCTTGCTGCTCCAACTGTTGCTTGGGAACACATCATTTGCGAATTTAGTGGCTTGTTCAAATTTAGCATTTATAATCAATCGAATGGTATTGTATATGCAATATTCTTTTTACCAGTGTCTATACAAAAATAGAAGATTTTAACTTGGTATGGAAAGGATAGTGTTATGGTGGACGTTCAATTTAAAAGATGTATGTTCAATATTGGATGCAAATTTTTCATGTTGGTATTGCCAAAAAAATTCAAAATAACGAACTGTTCAACATCTGATCTAAGTGCCAAATTCTGTTATCATTAACACTGGTAACATGTCTAGTATGGCCAAACAAACTCAGTTAATAGAACCACCCATTCTATGCGCACATGTTCGGTCTCACATTGCAACAAGGATTACCAGTAACAAGAAAATGTAATTCTAGGGTTAGTGGTAGCATTGATGTAAAGAGCGTGAAGCTTTAAGCCTGTGGCTTCTTGAATGCGGCAATTGTGGCATTGACTCCACTGTTGATGCTCTGCTCTCCCTCCGCGAGCTTCGGGGCTTCACGGTACACGCTCATAACCTGCGGGAGAAACGGAAAATGGGTGGTGTTTGAAAGTCAGTACCTACAGATAACGAACATGATGGCAATCATACCTTGGACGAAACTAGCCACATTGATTACTCATGCCACCTTTGCTTTATGATCGATTAAAAGGTCATCACACTGTGCCATCGCTTCTATTTGCACTCAACACCTGATTCATCTTGTGGTTTTAATGTTTCCCTTTAGTTTTTGACCACTAGATTCCACTATCAATGCTTGTCTTGGTAACATGTCCATTTCAATCCTCCACATATGCCCCATCCGTATAACGTTTTCCTGATAAATTAAAAGGTTGTAGGTGACACCTACATTGATATTTACAACATCAAAATTGACAATATTCATATTCATGAGACCAATAACAATAACGACATTGACAGTGACGTGGTATTAACAATGATTTTGACTAGCATTTGCATGATAATAGCAATGACATCGCTACATTAATAGCATCAATATTGACATTGACAGCAAGATCATGGTTATAACATTGACATCATCAGCACTCACAGCGCTGATCCAGCTCGTGTAGGCTGACACACGGGTGAACACGGTGGGCTTGCGGATCGTGTTGCAGCCCAGAGATGATATGTAGCTGGTGATTCCCTGCACCACCCAGGCATTGTCCCACCGCTGGCAGTTCAGTGGGCCACCTCCATCACCCTGCGATGCATACAAGAGGATAGACATGCATCTCTGTTAAGTGGGTAAAGCAGCAACGGGATATGGTGGTGGGTGCTGGCAAGGTTCAGTACAGGAGATTGGAGCTCTTGTATCGGTGTCTGGATGATCAAACTTTGCAAGTGTGCTTTCCGACCGTGTTGCTAAATAACGGAGATATATCGCACAACCCCAAAGCCTGATCCTTCCCATTACCCAAAACGCCTTTCTGTGTCTTGCCCCATACGACTCTAGCAGCTAGACACACGTAGCAGTGTCTGGCTACCAAATATGACAAGTCAACATTTGTATTGTTTTTTTTTTGTTATTCCTTGAGTTAATACAGTGATGCATTAACTTTTTCAGTGTTTTGATTTTAATAAATTCTTAGTGTCCGTGGATTTAATTTAGTCATTGTCTTATTAGAGTCTATTGAAACAGTCACGCTATTTGTCGACTCGAGTTATTAATTATTGAGTGAATGTGCGCCTCTTTCGCTCCCCCAACATTAACAGGTGAGCCAGTCAGTGATATTAGTGGTCAAAGTCATCAACATGCTTGGTGATTGTTGTCCACTCACTGTTGACTAAATTAAGATTTAAAGGAAACATTTGCTGACAAATATTCACATCAGTAATTTTCGTTAAGGAATTGACGCGGGTTGGCTCGCGTTGCGCTCCGTACGCACATAGCACGCAGAGCGGGTGCTGCCCCCCGCACAGATCACGCTGCTCCTCAGGCTGCTCCCCCACCAGCTGGGCTGGCTGCACGTCGCGTAGTCCACCACGGGCAGGCTGGCCTGCTGCAGCGCGCTGGGGAAGGGGCCGCTGGCTGCTCACACGCACAGACGATGTGGAGATGGAGAGCGTTGGTGAAAACATCTGAGTTAGGTGGCGTTATCAGGCGCTCCCCAAGCGAACCGTCGCTGTCTTTATGCTCAGAAGGGAAAGGCCACATAGCAACACCGCCACCCTACTGGCAGGCTATTTCCCACTCTTGACTATGCAGAGTTGTGTTCCTTTTTTCAACTCAAAAAATATTAAGGGCTGAGTCAACCCTAGAATGTGACTTGTGACAGCCATCTTCATCTCGTTAATCTGCAGGGGAAATTGTCACGTTGCGCTGAATGGACACTGAGTGAACGGTACTCACTGTCGAGAGATCCCCAGCCCGTGGCGTAGCACGGGTAGTTGTTGGACAGTATCTGGTTGGCGCTGGGCAGGCAGGCCGGGCGCACCTTGCTGGAGAGAGCCACGGGCGACGCAATCTTGAACATGGCGATGTCGTACCTGTGGGGGATTGAGACAGGGGCAGCTGTGATGCGAAGCTCAACACCGAACATAACACCAAGCAATGGGGGTTCAGCGCGTATGAGTACAAATCAAGACAACAAATAGCCTTGTCATTATCACTGCCTTCTATCATAAAATTTCCGGTTTAAAAATGACCATTCCCTGAAATATCTATTATAAAAGCCATGCGTTCCATGTGTCCGCTTGTTTATCTGTCATCTAAATAATTATTAGAGCCTTTCAGAAGGAGGTTGCATAAAAGAGATAGAGAAAGTGAACCCCCCCAGATGTGGGGGTAAAAAGTTGATCCAACAAGTTTACAACAATTGCCGACAACTCCCAAATTATTTTCACTCCCCCCCCCCCAAAAAAAATACCCATTTCTTTTGGAGGCATATATGCCTATACACCCCACATTCAATAGTCTACATTTCATTTGAAGTCAGGAGTTAGAAAAAGGCGGCCATAGGTCGTAAAAATTCTAGTTATATTAAGATTAGATTTTTTGGCACTTCAAGGCAGTGTCAATGAGGAGCTTTGCGAGTTAAAAATATTTAATCTGTCTCTTGTCCGTCTGAATTTATCATTTGCATGACTGTTTGAATGTATGTGTATCTGGCACAAGCGTCGTGGTGACGTCACTGCCACTATGTCACCGCCGCGAATGGCGGTTGTTGTTGTATCTGTCTATTGCAACTCTGAATATCATGGTGTAACGTAGCCCATGTGCGTTCTCACCCATTCGCCGGGATGCTGGGATTCCAGTAGCTATGCCAGACGGCCAGGCTTAATGGAGGGGTGACCTCCCCGAACTCGGTTGTGGACACACTGTGCTTTCCCAGCACCACCCTGTAGCTGTAGCCACTCCTGCACGTTGTGGTGGATGTGGGGAGATAACAGAGCGACGGACGGTCTTAATCACTTACACCTTACTAAACATAAATAGTGCGAGTTACAACATGATATTTTCACTTTAACACCTTGTGATCTTTACACAACGTGTAAAGATTCGTTATAGAGGCTGCCTCTTTGCTCCAAAGATCCACTGCTCCACCTATGTTGGTCGCAATGTGGTACAGGAAAATACTGTACAGCAACTGGGCCCTGGTGCAGCTGCACCGCCTGCACACACAATAGCGACGCCACTGGTGCCGTGACTCACGTGAAACAGCTGGCAGAGGTGAGCACCCATTGACTATCAATGAGGGTTCCTCCGCAGTAGTTGACCCATCTTCCTCCAGAGTACCTCTGCACGAGCGCCTGTAATGCACACACAGCGAAGTGGTGTAATCTGGTACTGTTTCGGAATTCGCTCGCCACTGATGTTAGCAGTCGCAGGGAATGTAACCCAGGTACCCTCGTTCATAGTGCAGTGCGTTAAACACTGCGCTTCCACTTTCCCATTATAGTCAATGATTCAACGTCATTACGAAGAATGGAAGATCTGAACATTTCATGGTGCACACATGCAGCCCTTTTGTCAATCCACTGCTGGATGAGGGCCTCTACGTGGCATGTGCAACAATGGATGCTGCTGCACTGAGATCGACTGACAATGAATCGTGTGGCTGTGATGGCTGTTATTCAGCCTCTGCCGTTACCTGCCAAGGCCAGGAGTTGGCGCGAGCCTCGACGCCGTTCACCACGCGAATCTGGGGATATGCTGCGATCCCACAGCTCTGAGCAGACACCTCAGCTGTAAGGAACAATAGAATACACGCACAATACTATACACAAAAGCAAACACGCACAATACTATACACAATAGCACTAACGCAAACAATAGCACAAACAATGCATGATGTCCGATGTTTCACTCCACGTTACAGGAGCTTCTTTTACATATATTGTTTTATTTAAAACCCGAAACCACAACCATGACAGAGGGCATATCACCGTACATGTAGGGGTGGCATATCCAGGAGTTGTGCCCTCTGGGTAATTTTTTTCTCCTCAACCAGGGGTTATTGAGGGTATATCGGCATCCGTTTATAACCCATGTGGTCTAGCCAAAATAACGAGTGACGTGTAAAGGAGAGAACTTGAAGCCCTGATCCGCCCATTCCCCTCCTTAGGTACTACTCTCAGTATATTCACAATAAGGCGAGGCCTGTTCCTCCACTCCTCACCATTTCTCTTGGATCCCCTGTTCGGATTCATCATCGTATTGCCCTCAGGTGATCCGTGTTATATAGGGTTATTAAGTAAAGGTGCTCCATTGCGGCCTTAGTTTATAATAATCGATTCCAATGTCTCCAGGAAGGGGGTTAGAAGTGCTTCCAATTAGCAAAGATAGTTTTCTACGCCGTGGTATTAAAGGCTTGGGGTCGCTTTTTCTGGTTTTTGGACATCCCCACAGGGTTCAGGCCCCATCGGAAGGAATCCACAGAGGGCCCAACATTCGTGCCATAGATAATATTTAAGGATTTGGCAATTAATGGAAGAATTTTACGATATCCGTGTACAGCCAAAAGGCGTTTAGGTATGTCTGGTGCCAGGAGCTACTTCTAGAACTGAGTCCAGTTCCTGAAGAAGATTTAACGGTTGCTCCACTAAATCAAATGTGTGCATTGCAATCACTCAGCAGCTCAACGTGTCAGCACGAGGAGTACTCACCTCCAACCAGCAGAGCAGCGCAGACGAGAAAGGCGAGCATGGTTAATCGATGACTTGGAGCTTCTCGATCACGAGTGAATCCTCTCCACTGCCGTGTCTCGCTGTTGAGATCTCTTTGCTTTTATACAGAATCTACTGCCCACATGAGACCTCCAAGGGCGAGCACAATAGGAAAGTCCAACTGGCGGATACATCCGTATGCAAATGTGAACTTGATTCTTTCCAAATAATGACGTTTCAGCATCTTTATTATCACGTGGGTGTTAGCAGGTGGGAAGCAGTGGGCTATTCACGTTTTATTTTTCGAGGGCTTTCAACGCTGTGTATTGGATACCTTGTAGACATATGCCCAAAGTTGCGTCGTTATGCAAACACATTACATCCTGGTTTGTGTTTGCTTCAGCATTTTATTTCCAACTGTTTGATAAAATTAATAAAGTCTGTACTTCTGGCCACCAGCGAAGTGAATACTGCCCAACACTGCTTGAACAGGGAGACACTTACCTTTCTTTCAATTTGAAATGTAATTTTATTCACCTTATTTGAAGGACATTTTTAGTTCTTATATATATTTTTCCCATTAAAACTGATACAAAATGTAGTTGTAATGATAAAGTATTTTCAAAGAAAACAAAGAATATGCGTTTATTAGACTAAATATTGTCTTTGGGGTATACCTGGACATTTTTAACCTTTTTGTTTGCCTTTTAAGCTTGGCGTTCTAGAGTGAAATGTTTGTTGAGCAGTAGATATTTGAGAATCTTCTACATGTGATATGATACAAAGTGGCCAGGAGTCCATTAGTACAGAGCATCGAGTGTTTTCCAAAATGCATATGTGCTGGTTTACTTCTGGTCTCGGGTTTCCTTCCAACACACAAAGTACTCATTAAAGGATTTGGTAAAACATCGCAATCGAGCGTTTTCCACTTTTTCGCTGAAAAAAAGTCGCTGCCGTGCATGTTGCCCTACAGATTCCAAAGAATTTGAAATAAACTGTTTGCACCGCACACAGCCGTGACCCCGTGACCTCATGTGGCATACCGGCATTGGGATTCCCCAAGTGGACTGGCGCACAAACAAGCCACACGCTCTCCACCGCTTTATTCCCCACACTGCACGAGTCTGCCAGGAGTTTTGTCCTACACTTTTTGCACAAATTCCCAAGCTATATAAGGCAGTCCCCAGGTTACGGAAGGGTTAGGTTTCCGAGAACGATCCGTAACTAGAATTTTCAGTATGTCAGAATTTGAACAATTTTACCCCAAAATCCCATAGTTGGAAATAGTTGTGCCTCCCCTACCCGATTATTAGATTCGTTTTCTCTCAGTACTGCACTCGGGTGTGAAAATAGTTAAAGTATTTTTCAGTGTACTGTGATAGGTGCATGTATATATATATATGCATAAGACTAGAAATGTGCTATTATATTCAGTATTTATTATTAACGACGGTGGGGGGGGGGGGGGGGTGCGGCATGTGGAGTGACGTCCCGCGCGTTACACACATTTCTGGGCTATCTATATATATATAAAAGGGAAATTTGTGAATGTGTCTTTTCGAAATGCTTAGCATACTTCCCAACATGCAACAAACTTGAAATTTGGCATGTGGGTAGCTTCCAGACTGTACACAATGCAAAAAGTATAAAAAATAGACTTTTGTATTTGGGGGGTGGGGGAGGGGGGCGCAATAATGGATACATTTTTCACGGCAAATGAGCGGTGACGTCACATCTGTGATGTCACCCGCATGCGGCAGCGTTACGCAGGCAGTGTGCCTGCTGACGTCACGCACCCCCCCCAAACCCTCCACGTAGGCCGTAGGCCGTGTATCCCGCACAAATGCGCGGCAAAGCTGTCTCCATTTTCTAAGTCAACTCGACTATTTTCAGCTCGCTCTTAAAAATAAAGCAGAAGATATATCTGTTTGTTTGAAGCAGCACAAACTCTCGAACGCTGAGCTCTGACATTAGATTTAGTTAAATTGATTTGTTTTAGCTTTTTTCTTTCTTGGAAGCATAATTTTTTCTGGGTTTTTCAGTGAAATATAAGCGAATATGAAATTAATCCTAGACAAGAATTCAAGTCCCAGGCGAAGCCGGGTAGTAAAGCTCGTAGTAGTATATATAACGCCAATCTCCACTTAACTTTTCACACGTCTTAGCTGATCACACAGTTCTATTAAAATGCCTTCGCACACCTCTTAGCTTCTCCCAACTTTTATAGCTTACTACAGTAAAATGTATCGCAGTCCTTGACTCTGCAAGTGACTCAAAACATAACATAGATTAAAACTTTCAGTGATACTCAGAGTCTGTCAATGCAGAACTCAGCACTTAGCAACATAGAGCTGTTTGCCTCTATAAGACTCGACACTTACGGTTGATTTCGAGGACCATACCCCGGAGCAAGACTCTTGACACTTGGCTGGTTACATGTGTAGCGTTGTAAATGGGCTGCAGTAGCAGACAAGGCCCATCAGGGGCAGTATCTGGCACCAGCATGTGGGTCACGACATTCCCCAGCCCCAAAGCAGGTGGGGGCTGCGGGGTGTTCTGAGATCCCCCAAGACCCCTCCCAATAGGAGGGGGCTGCGGGGTGTCCTAGGATCCCCCAAAACCTCCCCTGGAACTCTCTGGAAGAGAGGCATGGCCAGGGGCTGACACACCTGGGAGGTGTATAAAAGCCGGACCTCTGGACGGGTTCGGGGCCAATCGAAAACTGAAAACCAGCTAGCCAGTTGAAGACTGAAACCCAGCTAGCTAGGACCCTGGGACTCACCTGACCTGCCGTCCTTCTAAGGGCTGGTTCTGATTGGGCCAGTGGTGCGACCCTAGAACCCTTGGGTCCCGACGTCCTTGTAAGGAACGGCACCGAGCGGGCCAGTAGTCGGGACCTGTCCCTTAGCTGGGTTGAGTCGGAGCAGCCTCCCATAGGTCACCCCTCGCCGGAGGACCCAGAGACCGTGGCCCCAGTAGTAGGGCACGTCAGTCCGGAGGTGGTACCTCCTTAGGCAGCGGGTGAAGGGGCCGTAACCCCTTCAAGTGTTTAAGGGTTCGCTACGCGCTGTATCGTAGCTGTGTGTTAATAAACGTGTTGCCTCCAACATTCGTCTCCACCGTCGTGAAACCCATCATTACACGTGTGCCGTTGCAAGACTAGTTTGTGTGGTTTGCTTCCTCCTTATATCCGATATTTCCCCGACATTTTCCGGACTTTTGCTTCCTTGGGTCAGCTGTTGGCCTTTTGAATTTCTTCTCCGCTCCGCGGTCATCATTGGTCAGTTGCTGACCTTATGATATTTTTTTCCTCGGTCGTGAACCTTTTGTCCGCCGGGTATGTGTCTTGTGTCTGTTCAAGTTTATTTAATTATTTTACTAAGCCACATCAAGGCCCGAAGCTTCTCCCACCTTTGCAAATGTGGTGGTTTTTTATGGCCCTTTTTATCTGGCTGCCCGAATATCCCGAGCGAGTGATTGTCACTACGGCCATACTTCCACCCTTCCTCTGGAGGTCCTCTCAAGGCTTGTGGACGTAGATATTCTAAGTTGCCCCTGATGTGTCTGTAGCCTTGTTTATTGTGAAACGGCCTTCCCCCTTCAATAGGTCGGCTTATGCTTAGAAATGAATTCCTGCTGCAGCATGTAATGACAGCCACTGGGAGCATAAAGGCGGTTGGGCAGGCTCTGATTATACCCCTGGAATACATGTAATTTTGGTCGTGGAGAAGTTACATAATTCGTATTGTATATCTTCTGAATGATCCTTTGGTTCAATACTTAAATACAAAACTTCCATAATTCATTATAAAGTTCATACTGTATATACAACACGATGTTAGTGCACATTCACCAGACACCTAACATAATGTCACCACTCACGACTCTTTACTCACCAATCATCTTGGGCTCACCCAATACTCACATTCACCATCCTACTAAAGACTCACGGCACACCTGACCATCGCTATTCAGGTGACCCTCTCACCAGAAACTCATCCGACACACTAAACCAACATCCATCAGTCACTTAACACCACTTGCTTGACGCCACTAATTCTCAGTCTCACCACTCACTGAACTCACCAATCACTAGCTATGCATACATGAATGCCAATAAAATATCGGTATGAGGGGATGTGCAATACCACATTTATTATGGCAGGAAGAGCACTAGTCATTCATTAGCAGTTTCAATGAGTTTCTGCTGATAATATCACCCAGTAGTTGTCCCACTGAGCCAACGTCGAGCTACAGGATTTGGACATTATAATTGTTGTTGGAAAACAAACATTACCGACCTACATTAAAGACACCAACCATACTCTGCAGCTTTTCAATAACCTTCGATTCACAGGTCCTCAACGTATGGTTTTCACAATGGACACAATTTGTACACCCTTATTCCCAAAATTGATGGCTTCCAGATTCTTAGACTTTTCATCCAACACCCAGGTTGAACAGACCCCTTCAACCACAACACTGTTGATGTTGTCCGAACTCCTGCTCACCCGCAATAATTGCACCTTCAGCGGATGCCACTACATCCAGACCAGTGGACTGGCCATGGGCACACGCATGGGTCCTAGCTATTCCAACCTAATTTTCAAGGAATTTGAACAATATATCCTGATATTATAAACACATCAAACCTCATAATCAACGTTTTTGGGTTTAGATCGCGTTTATTTATAAATGTGTCGTAACCCTCCACATTTACAATTTGAGTACTCAAATTGTAAATGTTGTGGCTTCAACACACCGGTGGGCTAAAGCAGTGAACTATTTGTCTTTGTCAACGTGACACATTTTTACTGATTGGCCGTGTCGGGTGGTGGAGGGTTACAACACATTTATAAATAAACGCGATCTAAACCCAAAAACGTTGATTATGAATAACATTGGTCGCGAAAGCCTACGTGTTAAACTGACATCAAACCTCCTGACTTCTTTGGAAGATACTGTTCTTCGATGATTGTGTGGGCATTGCTTCTAACTTCAAAGAGGAATTTGATAAATTTTGTAGAGGCAGTGCCGGCACGTTAAGTGCCGCGTTTTGCGAAAAACGCGTTTAGCGAAAATATTTTCAGCACACTATAACGATAAAC